TTTCGCTCGGGGATGTTTTTTTGCGCCGAGTCTGTCTTGCAGGTCTACGCCACAATGCCTCCAGAGGTAACGGCGCAGGAGATGTGTCGGGGGGAAGGGACGAGCAGCTGAGAGGCGTCTTAGGACAGGACCTGCGGTAGGACCTTTGGGGAAGGAAAGCGGTGCAAAGGTCCGTCTTGGTGAACATGTTGCTGGATCTGTTGGTTGGACCCCGTGGTTGATCCAGAGCTACCGCAAAGGAATTTGGAATTTGCAAAGGAGGTCTGACCATGGAAATCTGGGCGAAGTTTTGGTTGCTCGGTTGGGGAAGAGCTTCAGCTTCAGGACAAGAAGCCGGTACGCGGGGTGCCCGTCGGCTTCTCCTCGATGGCCTTTCTCGTTGTTTTTGTTTTCTAGGTCCCCCAGCGATTGGTGCCCTTTCTCGCCCCTTGTTGGTGGGAGGGTTCCCCTGCTAAAACAGACTACAGAAAGAAGAATCGGGTAACTCTATTTTAACCTCTCTACTGGAGGACCTAGTTTGCCTTGGATACCAGGTTGATTCGAATTTGGGATGGAAGACTCACCCAAGTGGTCTTCTAGAAGCGATCCGTGGCGTTGGAAAACTGACATTTCGTGCAATGACTGGTGGGTGAGCCACCCTTCTGGGCAGGAAGCAATCTGCGAACTGCTCAGGTTCCCCAAAACGGATTTTTCCCCGAAGAGCAGGGACCCGCCGGATCAATCCTGTGGTTTCTTCAGCTGGACATGATCATAGGAAGCTACGAGGTACATGTCCGCAGGGAAAGATATCAGACCCCCCCCCCCCCCCCGCCCCCACGTTGTGGGAAACAGGGCACCCCCCCATGTCTTTTAGGATGGTTTCGGATGGTTTTGGATATTTTGTGATGTGCTTCGGATGTGGTTTTTAGACGTCTTTTGGATGTTGTCGGGATGTGTTTGGATGGTTCGCACCAGGGGGCCCCATTTCCAACCTCACCCGCGTCCAAGGTTTTGATCTTATGGTGGTCATGGACTTCGAAGACTACGAAGCACAGAAGGACTGGGCGTTCACAGGCTGCATACACCCGTTGACATGTGCCATGGTTGCACCACTCTGCTTATGTAGGTCCCCCGTGCCCTTTCTCACCCCTTTTTTGGTTGGGAGGGTTCCCCTACTGAAATAGACTACGGAAAAAAGCTGGTACCAACTTATTCTAACCTCTCAAAAGACCTAGTTACTACGCTCCACTCGTTAATGGAGGGAATCGAGGCAAGAACAAGGAGTCCTAGGCGAAGTCCCTCAAGGAGTTTCGATGGGCTCGACCCTTGTAACTTCTAGAGGTCCCAACCACCGTGGTTTGCAACCCCCAGGTACTAAGAAGCTTTGTTCGGGGCTGCATCTGTGAGATGGTTGAAAACCAAGTTGTTACAACGCAGATCTTATTTAACCCTCCATACATGTTTGCCGTCTTCTTCTTGATAGCCCGTTTTCCCGACAGGAAGTCAGTGCTCCCATGTTTCCAGACCCCCCAATCATTGCCGCAACCCTTTTTGTGTTTCTTTACAGAAGCCCCCCCAACTAAACAACAAGCTCAGGTTGCATGCAGGCAAAATCTCATCCCTTGTGAATGGCCTGGGTACGGGGCAGAGACCGCTTCTTCCGAGGAATTCTACGACCGGGAGCTGTTGCAAGAGCTCGCCGAGGCTGTCTTCATCCCCCAGGAGTCGAAGTATTTTGATGCTCTCACCAGGTTCCCTGAAGAGCATCCTACATCTTTGGCCTTGACTGAAACCATGAGCGAGGAAAAGCTTAAATCCCGGGAAAAGGGATGAACGTCCAAGATGTTCGTGAGGCTTCTTGAGCTTCGGTGCGAAATAGCCCTTCACCGCCCGCCGTACAGACCTACCAACATGACCGTACAATTCCGCTGCAAGAGTTGGCCTTGTTTTTCAGGGTTCCCTTTTCAGGCTTGGCTTAGAGGGTTGCCAAAATGGACAACCAACCTAATTCTGTTGGGGTCCTTGACGCATGAACAAATCGGGGTGCTTGGGAATCCGCAGGTGAGCCCGGTCTTAGTCTCTGAGGGCTCCGTCAACGTGGTTCTCATGATTCCAGAGATGCTGGGCTTGCCTTAGGTCATCTTCCCTTAAAGGCTTGAAATCTTCGCCCGCATCTTGCTGGTTCTTCGGTCCTCCCGACACCGACAAACAGTACTTGCAAGATGGTACTTGCAACAACTTCACAAGGAACACATGGGATCATTCCAGTGTCTTTCTGTCAGGGAGTCTTTGTGTGGGAGGTTCAAATGTGTCCAAATAGCACCCCGTCTTTTCGTTGCGGGGGCTGTCCCTTAACTTGTTCAGGCCCAAGCGATGCTGAGGGAAGAAGATACCCCCAGAAGCCAGGATCCAATTGGTTCGCATAGTCTTGCTTCTTATGAGCTGCACCCTGTGTTGCTGAGAAGCTACACGTTGCAAGTTGGTGCATTTTGCCAAGGGATGTTAGGACTTTAACTTTTTGCCAACCAATAAGTTGTCCATTCAACCACTAAAAGGTATTCACTTTTAGCCGGGGAGCAGATTTCGCGACCGAGAATTGTTGCAGAACCGAGGTTCCGGAGGGGAAACGTTACAGGCCCCGAACCGATACTCAAATCGAATGCCTGCCAATTCCAACTGGCGGCGATGATCGAACCTGCTTGGGGAACACGCGAAACAAGTCCGTGCTGCTTTTCCTACGCGCGTTACGTGGCCACGTCAACGACTTATAGTGCACGTAACTACTGGTAGCCCCCAAAACACTGCAAGCCTAGGCTGAGGAAAAGACACATACTTGCCGATACTAGGGTATAAGGGTACACAGTTGTCGTGCAGGGTTTTGATTTCAGCCCAGATGAACCCCCGCCTTTTTGGGGGTTCCATGAGAGACACACCCACATCAGCCAGCCAGCCTTGAAGCGAAGCAGAATGCTACATCGAGCCACGGCCAACCTATTGTGCCTAAGGATACGTCTCACATGTTCAGAGCTGTCCACCGTCGTTTGGTGGCTGGAAACAAAAATCATCTTAAGCTTTCCGGGAAGAAAACATGAAGCAACAGGTGTTTGCCAATACCAAGTGAGCTTCCCCTGTTAAAGGCGTGCCAGGGAGTGACTCTTAAATTTCTCTTAGGAGCTCGTGGATATTCTGAAAGTGGAGCCAGGCTGGGGCCCTCAGGTGCCATCTTGCCACCGCGCTTACGTTTGCCTTGGGGCCTTTGGGGGGGGAAGAAAGAAAAGAGCCTTGGTGTTGCGTGTCTGGAGTTTTCTCAGGTGCCTTTTGCTTCGTTTGCATCCAATTGCTTCAACGGCCGCTTTCCCCCCCTGCCTTTGGGTCCCTTTGATGTTGAACACACTTTGGAACCGGGGAACGCAGAAGGAAAAGAGAGGAAGCTGCCATGTGGGTGCGGCGCAAAAGGAAACAGCTGGGGTTACGCAGGTTTTGGTCCTTCCCCAAAGCCAGGTGCCATGTTGGGTATTCCAATTTTTGAGCCACAGCCATGTGACCAACATACCGCTCTGCTTGCAGAGCTGTCCCTCAGGCCGCGGCGGCACGGTCTTCACCATCTCCTTCTATGTGGAGCCTGGCAACTCAGAGCTCGTCTCCAAATCAGATCACTTGTGACCAAGGATTTCTTTGGGTCATGTTCCCTTCCAGTCACGCGGCTCAGACAATGACGCCAATGCTCAAAGCAAGTTTGTGAAGCCAGGTCAGTGTAATTGACACGGGCGTCAGCAGCATCATGGAAAAAGCGCTGCGCATGTATTCCAATGACTTGAACCCGGAGCTGGACTTTAAGTTGTAATCCTGATTGCCGCTATTTTGGCTTGACTTGGCTTATGTTCGCACCTACGTCCCCCCCTACATAATTATGAACATGAGCAATCAAGTCTTAGGTCGCATGCACGCACAGGAAGGAGAGCTGAACACCATTTTTGGAATGGTACAAGCATGAGAGGAGGCATTGGCATGATTCTGCTTGTTGTTGGTGGCGAGCTCACCATCATGTCATCATGTAACTCAGTGCAAGGCTTGGTGTTGTCGCCGATTGGCTGGCGAAAGTTTCATCAGGCTGACACAAACAATCCGCGTGATTTTTTGTAAAGCAGGTAGCTGCCTAATACGCGTTTCGTGATGCTTAAGAAACTTGTCTTATTGACGCTCAGTAAGTCAGACAACAGGATGTGACATTGACATCTGTTTGAATTTATTTGCTATTCTGAGCCATTTGTCGTTTTGTCTGGTAGTTTGAGTTCAAAGAAATTGATGAGGGGTTCTTGCTGGCCGGCATGCCGAGCGCAGCGCTCGACAACAAAATCAGGGGGTCCAGTCTCTGTCGAGCACACTCCCCTAATTACTTACAATTGGCTTGGCAGGGGTCTTGGCTCCACGCGGGTAACTCGTCAACTTAGTGCCGGGAGCCTGAAAAGACACTTTATCATGCTGAAAGTGACGAGTTATCTGGACAAGTTGCAACAAGGCATAGAAAAAAACATAGTTCCATTCCCAAGTCAAGTGCGAAGGAAAGAAGGCGGGAAGGACTGCCCGATGCGGTTATGTGTGCTTGACTGGGGTCTGCGCTGCGCGCAACCCCCCTTGTTTAGCTGCGCACTACGTAGTATAGTTGTGCTTGCTCCACTTTGGGAGGGCGGGGAGGCTGCGCCAAACGACTTATTACAAAAAAAACAGAAGCAGCTCATTCAGGATCGACAAAAACAAAATATTGGGCATCATTTTGCTGCAACGCACAGTACCAAGCCTGGCAACTGTTGCATCAAACAAGAATATCAGATATCAAAAGCAAACTTGTCGGGCGTGGCTGGGGTTGCTTTGTTTAGACTTTATTGGGGGGGGGGTTACTGCGGGTTGGTTTGGTTGTTTTTTTCCGTAAGAGCCAGACTGGCTGGGAATGCATCATGGATCCCCAGATCTTTCACGAGGCCTCGATGTCTGCAAGAGCTGGGGCCGGAGGCACGCGGCTGGGTCCAAGTTTTCTCAACGCGACATTATGTTCGCCTCCAAGCGACATACACATGTGTATCCTTACATAGTTCTATGCACATGCGTGTGCATGATGATGTTCGTTCACCAGAGGTTTATGCCTACATATATATATATACATATACATATATTCGGCACACATGTGCACGCGCGTTAAGCTGTATGTGTTCGCTTGTCGATTAGTGCGACAGCAGCATGTCGACGGAGAGGGCATGTCGACGGAGATGGCTTGGCTGCCACCTTGACTCAGTTTCAGACCTTCCCTCACGGCAACATGCTCTAACCCTTGACTCACGGCTTGCGGCGTCTGGTTCTGGGTGCTGACGAGCACCCATGTTGCTGTTGTCCAAAAGGAAGCCGAAAGCAGATGGGTGTTGGTTGCTTTCCCAGACCCGATACCGCGGGTTGGAGTGCAAAACAGTGCCACATGGCCCAAACCCTACGTCTCACGCGAGAGCGCCGGGGATTCTTGTAGCAAGCAGATGGCCCTGAGAGAGACCAAGAGGCTGCTGTCTGACTTCCCAGCTTGGACAAGCTTCGGAAGATCGTGGCAAAGTCGAGACTTGCCGTGACCAGTCTCCAGAAATGAGGGTGTCTATTTTGAGGGAGGGACCCCTCTCCCCCAACAAAACAACAAGCGGTTCTCCTGTTGGCTTCCACCAAACAGAGGCTACCCTCAATGAAAGACACCAAAGTGTTTCAAGCGCCGTGCCAGAGGTATCACCCACCAAAAACGAGGCGACCCTCCATGTCCAGCGCCACGCCAGAGGTTGAGCTGCTGTCCTTTGGCATCAACACCAAGGAGCCGCGGTGCGGGCAGAGTGGTCGGGCTTCAGAGTTTCAAATCGCTTGGGCTTTGAATCCCTGTTGGTTTCAACCGTCCATTTGCTGAAAGGATGTGTTGTTTTTTGAAATACAAACAATGTTATTATTTTCCCTTTGGGGTTGTAAAGGACATCTGTCACTACTGGACAAGTTTCCCATTTTTCCCAGGCAACGAAGAAGCAAATGGATGCAAATCGAAGTACCCGAGTTTGGCGCGGGTTCTTAACCAAACGCCGTAACTAGTCGACACCGAGTTGTTCCTCTTGAAGCTTTGTGGTTGCCCCGTTCGCGCCGGACGTTCGCAACGGAGGAAGGCTGCAACTTGGTGGCTCCCGTGGAGTACATGACCGAGCCCGGGCCATGAGTTTTCGCCATTGAGAAGCCCAGCGGGCGCAACCCACGCGGATGCATCGGGTTTTCCCCCCGTTTCCCCTTTTTCACGGGAAGAAAGACGTCAACTGCCCTTGTAACAAAAAGAAGTTCCGTCTCCTTCCACGAGAACGTGACCGGAGGTTGCTGGTGGTCCCATTCTCAAGGGCAAATGAAGGTCGCTTTCGCAATCGCGGGTGCAACTTAAGATAGCCTGGGATCTAAGGACGTGGTAGCTGACGTGCAACCCTTCTTCCGACACCTGGGGGGTGTTGAGGCTGAAGACGCAACTCTCCAACAAGGACTCCGCCTTGTCTGGGACCAAGTGAAGAGATCGGGGCCAAAGAAAATGGCCTTCCTTTGAAGCTGTAGTGGGGTTGTCGCAGAATGAAGTGCCAGTTGTGTTCTGCACACGGAGCCTGACAAGACCAGAGAAATTAGCCGGGTGTTTGACTTGGTCTTTTTATGTGTTGCGTGTTTTCGGAGACTAGCATGTCAGCAAGACGGGTGGGGTCTTCTTTGAGGGCATCTTTGTTTGGAAGACTGAGAACTGCACCCCCAAGTGATTTGGATGGACTACTTTAGAATTGGGGGCACTGCTGGGGCGGACCGAACCACTTTTCGTGGAGTTCTGAGCACTGGCACTGATGTGGGGGTACCCCTGGCGACCTTGTTAAAAGAAGCTATCAGAAAGCAGTTCTTTTAGGGGTTCAGCATCTCGAATCACGAATCCTTTCAGGAGACATTATTCCAGGGGGCGAGTCCCCATTCTGTTCAACTCATCGTTCTTTTCAACAACCAGCCGTTTTCCCTTCCGGTGGTTTTCTAGAAAGAAGGATCCCTGGAAAGAATGGGGAAGGTACCCCTAGAATTATCAGTGGAATTGTCGCGGCAGAGCCACCAACTGAACAGCCCACACAAAGCTTGCTTTCCCACACATGGTCCTGCGAGTTTGTTTCCCCTTCTTTTTGTACTTCGCCCGATGTTCCCAGCAATGTCCTAGATTTCTCCCAGATACTTCATATTCATACCTTTTTGCTAGCAGTACTACAGTACTTTGTGATGACTGTCGAATCCTTTGCGTGTTGCAAGCCATGAATCAATGACCATGTCATCCAAGGTTCTATCAGCAGGACCTTGTCCTGCTCAACAAGGCTCGCGGCCGACACATGCATAGTCCCATGTCTATGTATGTGTGTGTGTGTGTGCATGAAAGACTTGGCATTTGAAAGGCTGGATGTGTTGCTCAAAATTGCGCTGTCTTGTTCAAGCCAAGGAATGAAACGGGTGCGTGGTTGTTTCAAGGTGCCGAAGCATACAGATTGCCCCTACCGTTGTAGGGCCATTCTGAGATTCGCGAGGTGAATCCTGATAGATCCTTCTCCTTTGCAGAGCAGCACTTCTGCAGCCAGGCGCAAGTGAGCTGTGTTTGGTGAGCCCTTTCTCCATAAATCAATCGGCAATGCCCCCGTTATACACGAGCTTTTGGAAATGAACGGTGCCAAAGCGGAGGGAATTGGTGTGGTTATGAAAAACACGATGGGTAAACAAAATTAGGGATCAGCTGTTGAAAGAGTGATTGTGGTTTCTTTCCTGTTCGTTTCCCTTGAACACGATTCAAGTTTGTAGGGTTTTGGTGTGAGGCCACTCCGGTTATGATGCGTGTTACCCCAGGCTGAGAGGAGGGGGCCAACTCCCCGAAGCCCCCAAAGGAGGAAAGCAATGCTTGAAGTTAGATAGTGCCACAACCGTGAAATGGCAGATTGTTTCATTTTTACTTTTTCCTTTTTTTTTGTTTTATTATGCATAGTCATGTTTGTGCTTAAGCATTGGTTCTACCAGCCAGTGCTTGAAATTACCATAAAATGGTAATGTCATTTTGGCGGTTCACCGATTTGTCTCTATTGGACCCTCTCTCAACCAACAACAAAATGCGTCGTCCGATTTCAAAAAATCAAAAAGTGGGGACCCGCCAAAGAAGAGGTGATGCCTTTTCCATCCCAAAGAACAAAATGAAGATCCCGATCAAAACACCCAAACTGACGGTCGAGTCTGATACGCGTGCCCATAGCATGTTGGCCTTTTAGGTCTGCTTATCAGCAGGTCAACATGCTTGGGTGTGGTTTGAGGGTTTATAGCCTTTCTTGGTGGTTGTAAAGGGAAACCAACAGCAAAAGCGCCAATTTTTGGGACGCGGGGGTTCCCCTCAAAAAAAAAAACGCAACTAGCCCTTCTTTGTTGTCTTACCTTCAGGGGGCCCATGAGTTTTCTGGCATTTCCTTTTTTGGCTTGACTTTTTCGGACATCTGTGAAATAACACCTGGGAAATGGCAAACTCCTTTCGGCTTCACCTTACGCCAATCGAAGCGCAAGTACGCTTACCTAAAAAAGCACGTCCACCCATTTCCCCCTTGTTCTCACATGGTCAACCGATTCCAACGGCTCGCTGCGTGACCTTTTCCAGGCTACTCTTTTCGGTTGGTTGGTTTTCGGAGCGGGACACCAAAGGAAACCCACTGGTCTTGTGGGAAAACCGAAGGAAGGCAATCTACGAAACCTCAAAGCACCCCATGGGGATGGTTTCAAGTGCAAGGTCCAGGCTCGGATTCGACAGGAGCCCTTCTGGCAGTATGGGGCTGTCGCTGCCTCTGAGAGCCACTGCCTCGGTTTCTGTTCTGTGAAGCGAGAAATGGGTGCCCATCTTGGACCCCCCAGAAGAGAGGAACTGATGGCTTGGATGGCTTGGATGGCTAGGATGGGTTGGATGGCTTGGATGGCTTGGATGGCTTGGATGGCTTGGATGGGTTGGTTGGCTTGGATGGCTTGGATGGCTTGGATGGCTTGGATGGGTTGGATGGCTTGGATGGCTTGGATGGCTTGGATGGCTTGGATGGGTTGGTTGGCTTGGATGGCTTGGATGGCTTGGATGGCTTGAATGGCTTGGATGGGTTGGATGGCTTGGATGACTTGGATGGCTTGAATGGCTTGGATGGCTTGGATGGCTTGGATGGCTTGGATGGCTTGGGTGGCTTGGATGGCTTGGATGGCTTGGATGGCTTGGATGGCTTGGATGGCTTGGATTGGTTGGATGGCTTGGATGGGTTGGATGGCTTGGATGGGTTGGATGGTTTTGGATGGCTTGCATGGCTTGGATGGCTTGGCTGGCTTGGATGGCTTGGTTGGCTTGGTTGGCTTGGATGGGTTGGATGGGTTGGATGGCTTTGATGGCTTGGATGGCTTGGCTTGGATGGGTTGGATGGCTTAGATGGGTTGGATGGGTTGGATGGGTTGGATGGTTTTGGATGGGTTGGATGGCTTGGATGGCTTGGATGGGTTGGATGGGTTGGATGGTTTTGAATGGGTTGGATGGCTTGGATGGGTTGGATGGGTTGGATGGTTTTGGATGGGTTGGCTTGGATGGCTTGGTTGGCTTGGATGGCTTGGCTTGGATGGCTTGGATGGTTTTGGATGGCTTGGATGGCTTGGATGGATTGCATGGGTTGGATGGTTTTGGATGGGTTGGATGGCTTGGATGGCTTGGCTGGCTTGGATGGCTTGGATGACTTGGATGGCTTGAATGGCTTGGATGGCTTGGATGGCTTGGATGGCTTGGATGGCTTGGGTGGCTTGGATGGCTTGGATGGCTTGGATGGCTTGGTTGGCTTGGATGGCTTGGATGGCTTGGATTGGTTGGATGGCTTGGATGGGTTGGATGGTTTGGGATGGCTTGGATGGCTTGGATGGCTTGGCTGGCTTGGCTGGCTTGGTTGGCTTGGTTGGCTTGGATGGGTTGGATGGGTTGGATGGCTTTGATGGCTTGGATGGCTTGGCTTGGATGGCTTGGATGGGCTTAGATGGGTTGGATGGGTTGGATGGGTTGGATGGGTTGGATGGGTTGGATGGTTTTGAATGGCTTGGTTGGCTTGGATGGGTTGGATGGGTTGGATGGCTTTGATGGCTTGGATGGCTTGGCTTGGATGGCTTGGATGGGTTGGATGGCTTAGATGGGTTGGATGGTTTTGGATGGGTTGGATGGTTTTGGATGGGTTGGATGGCTTGGATGGTTTTGGATGGGTTGGATGGTTTTGGATGGGTTGGATGGCTTGGCTGGCTTGGATGGCTTGGTTAGCTTGGATGGGTTGGATGGCTTGGATGGTTTTGGATGGGTTGGATGGCTTGGATGGCTTGGCTGGCTTGGATGGCTTGGTTGGCTTGGTTGGCTTGGATGGCTTGGTTGGCTTGGATGGGTTGGATGGCTTGGATGGCTTGGCTGGTTTTGGATGGGTTGGATGGCTTGGCTGGCTTGGATGGCTTGGTTAGCTTGGATGGGTTGGATGGCTTGGATGGTTTTGGATGGGTTGGATGGCTTGGATGGCTTGGCTGGCTTGGATGGCTTGGTTGGCTTGGTTGGCTTGGATGGCTTGGTTGGCTTGGATGGGTTGGATGGCTTGGATGGCTTGGCTGGCTTGGATGGCTTGGATGGCTTGGATGGCTTGGATGGCTTGGATGGCTTGGATGGCTTGGATCGCTTGGATGGATTGGATGGTTTTGATGGGCTTGGATGGCTTGGATGGCTTGGATGGATGGCTTGGATGGCTTTGGCGTGGGCTTGGATGGCTTGGATGGATGGCTTGGATGGCTTGGATGGGGTTGGATGGCTTTGATGGCTTGGATGGATGGCTTGGATGGCTTGGATGGCTTGGATGGCTTGGATGGATGGCTTGGATGGCTTGGATGGCTTGGATGGCTTGGATGGCTTGGATGGCTTGGATGGCTTGGATTGGATGGCTTGGATGGCTTGGATGGCTTGGATGGCTTGGATGGCTTGGATGGCTTGGATGGCTTGGATGGCTTGGATGGCTTGGATGGCTTGGATGGCTTGGATGGCTTGGATGGCTTGGATGGCTTGGATGGCTTGGATGGCTTGGATGGCTTGGATGGCTTGGATGGCTTGGATGGCTTGGATGGCTTGGATGGCTTGGCTTGGTTGGCTTGGATGGCTTGGATGAATTGGATGGCTTGGTTGGCTTGGATGGGTTGGATGGTTTTGGATGGCTTGGCTGGTTTGGATGGCTTGGATGGGTTGGATGGGATGTTTGGAGGTTGTCAAAGTAACATACTAAAGCAAAACTTGAGAGGGGATTAACCAAAAGAATTCAGCATATTTGAGGACACCTATTTTCAGAACCGCCCATATTAGGCTTTCTGGAGACTGACTGGGCATTCATATGGCCGTTTCGTATAGCATGCGCATTTGTATTCGTGCAGGCCACATCTTTCAATGGGTGTGAAGGCACACCCACGCATGGGTGCAAACATGTAAATCGGGATCCTTTTCGGTGAGTTTCGCTGAACTTGTATCAAATGGTCGTTTACCACCAGGCCGTCTACTTTTCCATGAAGAAAATTGTCCAACTGGGCGGAACCAGACTGCTACGGGAGACCGCATGTCAGATTTGCACATGCGCTCAGGCGAATGCCCCTATGACCTGGTGAAGCTTGGTCGGAGTCCTGGGATGACTCTCGGGCCAAAGCTGCAATGACTCGACTTTGGGGTCAGCCAGTCTATGGGAGAGACATTGGGGGGACTGGGGGACTTACAGTAAAACAGGAAAAAAACGGATTTTCGGCGTGTCAGTTGCCAGTCGATTCTACCGTCGCTCCATTCAAAAAGGCCCTCCACACGATTGTGCTTGAGGGGCTGAGTGTGAATTCATGAGCGTCATGAGAGAGAGAGAGAGAGAGAGAGATAGAGAGAGAGGGGGGGAGAGAGTGTGGGAGAGAGAGTCTGTGGGAGAGACATTAGGGGGACTTACAGTAAAACAGGAGACGCAGAATTTTCGGCCTTTCGCTGGCTTTCTGGGAGCTGAGCTTTCTGCGCCGGTCTGCTCAGCGACTCCTGAAGCTTGGGTTTCATGTTGAAGACCCCCCAATCAACCCGTGGCTTTCTTCTAGGGTGGCGACCAAACAAGTGTGTTTACCGGGTATTCGGTAGACAAAGCAATAGCCCTGCAATGGGCCTTTGCGGCCCGATGGAAGTTGCACCTCAAAGAGTCGAGAAAACAACAAGCACCACGTGTAGAGGAACTTCCTTCTCGGGAACCCGAAAAGGAATTTTAATTGCACCCCATGTTGGGTCAATCCCCAGGCAGTATCAGCGCGGTTGCTGGCACTGTGACCCTGGCGCGTGGCACTGAGGAATGTGGCAAAAGCGGGGACCACCCACCCAAAAAAAACGGATGTGTTTTCGTTAACCAGGTGGCGCCAAGGAAAAAACAAAAAAGCATGGATTGGTGTCCCCCATTTTGACACACACACACGCACACAAGTATTGCAAGTTGGAGACCCTGTCCTGTTTTTGTTCCTCAACTCGCCAGTTGTTGGATGTGGCTGGTTCGCTTGCTTTCTACAATCAACAATTGACGGGTTCTACTCAGATGAGTTGGCTTACTCGGAAACCCAAAGTTGTGACACCCAAAGGATAGAGAGAGAAGGAGAGAGCGAAAAACGAATGCAAAACGCTAGGTTTCTTGACTCTCGTTCTCTTCAACCCCCGCCAAACATGTGTCACTTTCAAAGCCATCCGAAACGGCAACTCCGATTTCAGTTGACGTCCCGGTCATGAATTCTCAACCAAAATTGGTGGGTCCTTTGCACCAGCAAAAACAGGCCCTTCTCCAAATGACCTGGCGAGACCTGGTCAATCGTTTTTAACATCAGCACGTGCCTCCTAAGCCTGAGGCTGTTTGAATGTATGTGCAACCTTGAAAAAAGGTGACAGACGTGGATAACAGCTGTAAAGTTTCTTGGATGCTATAAGTATGGATATCCTTGGATATTCTTGTTTACTCAGATGTTATAACCATGGCTAGAAGTAGCAGGGAGGTTGGATCCGCAACCATGCTTATAACTAACATATCTAGCATCCAAAACCTCGCGGAAAGAGCAGAACCGGTTGAATCTGGAAGTCGTTCAGTTACTGCACAAGCAACCTCGGATTCGATGACGTCACGAATTCCGGGTCCCCTATCTTGAGAAACTTTATCATGCAATCCCAAGGACAGCCCTCAGAGTCTTATTTGAGACCCTTTCAGATCAGTGAGCTCGCAGGACACTTTTGTGTCAGATATGGATAATGACCTTTCCTTTTAGAGTGTTTTCCCACCCCCAAACCGCTCCCCAAGGGGAAAGGGGCAGCGTTTTAGAGTCAACATGTAAAGGCATGATTTAACTGTTTGGTGATTTCGGGCAGGGGTATGGCTGTAAATCGGGTTGAAGGGAAGGTAATGGTGACAACTGATTAGTAAACCCCCCTCCTCCCCCCCCTCAAGGTCGACAAGGTTTGGACAAGTCCCCAAAACTGATTTTTTGGAGAACCCCCCTGATTAATCTCAAGCCCCTTCGGTCCTCGTCCTCTTACTTCTGGCCCCTTCTGGACAGTAGGACTTTAAAAGGCAACAGCCGGTTTTTGGGTTTTGAGCCAAGGGCCCTGATTCATCGTGTCTTTTTTTTTTCCTGTTAATGAGGGGCTGGCCTCCAAAGGTGGGGTCCTTGTGAGCTTGAAGACCTTGCCATTTTTTACAACTTTCAATAAAGAAAAGGCATTTTGGAAGCACACATGTTCGACGAACACTTGCGGGGTTCGAGAGTGACTTGGTATGAGTGGGCAGCACAGACGAAGCAAATACTAAGCAAGAAGGAGGTCCATTTTCTGGCAGTTTTTTTGGGCTCGGGGGCTGCAGAGGGATACCTTTAATCGGGGGGTTTTGGGGAGGGCCAAAAATAATTGGGTGGGTACTTTTATTGCGGAAACCTTGTTGGCCCGTTACTTTAATATTGGTGTGAACCTGGGGGGGAAAAGGGGAAACCTTTAATCGGGGGGATTTACTAATCGTCTCCAGACATTGTCATGCTTTGTACCAAGGAAAATCCTTCTTTAAGGTAGCAACGTAGGCATAGAGATGGATTCATCATCTCTTGTACTGTATGGCCCCATTTGGAGATTGAAAAAAGCGGCTGGGGCCCACGCGAGACTTCAAAACGAAGCTCGGGAGCAGGGCGCCTGCAGTTTCTTACTCGGGACGTACCTGAGTACTCCCGAATCGGGTCTCGACGGGCGGCTCCCCGGACCGAAGCAACCTTCGGCACTTCCGAGGCTCCTGCTCAGCGCCATGGCCCGGCTGATGCGGCCCTGCGGCTTCTGCCTACGGCTCTCCGAGGCGCGCCTGCGCGAGGCAAATGAAAGCGAGCTCAGCGAGCCTGAAGTGAAGCAGGCAAACATTGGAGGATTGATACATCATAAGCATTATATACCTTAGGACCTTACCTTGGCTTACAATATGATACTATACAATCAATAATCTACAAATCGCGATTTCAGTAGATTGATTGCAATGAAGCACGCATTGCATTGTGTTTTGTTACATTACATCACGTATTATCATTGCGTCTCATTGCATCGTATTATATGCATCACATCTCATCATGTGACATTGCATTACGCTACACTAACATTGCGTCATGTCACATGTCACTATACCTATAATACATATATCTATATACATATATATATATATATAATGATTTTACTTGTTCACCTTGCTTGATAGCATCTAGCGTATTCCAGCGGCTCGAGTCCATCCGACTGCTGACTATCCCAATGGTTTGGCTTTCGGAGGGGGCTAAGAAAAAGAGAGGCCCCTTATCAAAAGGTTTCCTAGAAGTTGGTCCCTCTTTAGGGCCCTTTCCGAAGTGGTTTCCATTTTAACTTGGTTCAGTGGAAGCCGCGAAGTCTTTCTTGTGGATACCCCCTTGAAATGCACCAGGGATTCCCGACTTCCGGTTGCAGATTTGGACTTATGCAGGCAGTCCAAAGTCCCGAAACGAGCCCGGGCCCTATCCTGAATTTGCTCAGCGCAGGTTGTTGAACCTTGTATTTTCTGTCCTCCCCGAGAATCCCAGCGCACACGCAGCACGCACACACACACACACACACACACACACACACACACACACACACACACACACACACACACACACACACACACACACACACACACACACACACACACACACACACACACAAACACACACACACACACACACACACAGCACACACCCACGTGTCCTTGGTACCTTTGTGCGTTTTTCTCTCGTCTCATTGGGTGGGAACACGCCACAAGCCTGTGCAAGCTGCAACTTGGTTGCGGGCCCAACACATCTCATGCAGCTCTCACGGCTCAGATCCTCGCGACGGGTGTCAAAGCCATGTCGGCTGTGATGTCATTGGGGAGCCTTGGTCACCCTGAGCTTTGTCGCAAGCCTTGCCTCTTTCTCAGATTCGGGTCATGTGATAAAGGCTCTGCGTGCCACTTCTGCCATCGGGACCACGAATCAGGCCGAAAGCTGAGCAGGCGGCAACGGGAGGACTTGCGCAGTTTGGACGAGGCGCAGCGTCTCGCATTGACCTTGCCTCACCTGCGAGCCAAGCAGTTGCCAGCCGAGCAGCTCCTGAGCTTGCTGGAGAAGCATCTGGCTTCGCTTCCTTTGGCCAAGTGTGGAATTCCGGAGAAAAGGCTCAAGGCGCTGAGCCGCAGCCTGGGCACTTGGAAGTTTGGTCAGCTTCTGAACCTCTGCCGCGAGCCGAGGATTATGCAGCAGGCCGAGGAGTTGCAAGCAGAGGTCGCTGCGGCTGACCCTGCGCTATTGCACTGGCAGATCGCCCTGTGAGAGAGCCCCACGCAAGCCCCCTGTTTGCTACTTGCGGCACGGATTGAAAAGAACCAGGGAACCAGGGGGTTGTTTGTTTTCCCCCTCTCTGCTGAGCAAGTGAGCAGGGGCTTAAAAAAGGCCGACTTCCGGAAATGCCAGGCTCGCGACGCCAGTTTTAAGTAATGCTCGCGGGCCGATCCTGGAGCGAATTAATTTTGCAACCTGAGGGAGGGTGAAGGTTTCAACAGAGTGAATGTTTAAACTTGGCAGTTCCCAGCCGTACCCTTAGGTCTTGAAGCTGTTTGGGTTTAAAAGGAGATGTCCATTCAACCCACCAATTCAACTTCTAGCTGGGGATCTGCAATCGGAGAGCCCAGTAAACGTGGGTTGCTGGGCCACTGGGGAGAATTCAATATTTTATCATGCTGGGACAGCCCCGGCGAGAGACCGCAAAGAGTGCACGTGCCGTGGTCATGCTTACAATCCGAGTTTCGGATTGGCACGCAGCGGCGTACGGATTTCGGCTGGAAATTGTGGAGCCATGACTATGGGCGCTCTTGACCGGGATGCGTATCTTTCCGCACCAGTCGGTTTGCAGCTCGACGTTTGATTGCAAGATATAGATTCGTTTCAACTTTCGACTCAGCAACTCTCAGGTGAGCCACAATCAAAACCCGGGTAGATGAAGCTTAGTAAAGGACGATCCCAACCATAAATAGCTGCAGAAATCCGCCTTCTTAATTCCTTACATGGTTCTGGGCAGCCATTTTAGTACCGGGTTTTGAGCAAGTGACTGAGGTGAGCCACGGTTCTGGTGAGCCGCATTGTAGCCCACCAGATGAGTATCAGCCCCTGAGAGCTAGAGCTAACCTTGCGCTCTTCACGAGAGTGCTGCTCTATGAAAAGGTACCTGAGTCAATTGCCTCAGACTCCAGGGTTCCCGACATTTCCGCTGAAAAATGGTTTTACACATCATCTCGTGGATCGGTTTGTATGAGTGTTGGAGGCGGTGCAGTTGAAAGCGGAAACATAGGGAACCATGAACGCATGTTTGAACATGTTTGAACTGATCGTTACAAGCAAGCCTCACTTTAAATGAACGAATGACAGGCTGGTGATTAACAGCATGCTGTCTGAACATATCTACGTATGCTAGTATGTTCAGCCGAATTGTCCTGAATTATTTTCATTCGGAACCACTGACCGGTTGGTCAGTTTCAAAATCGAATGAGAGGACATAGGCCGCGGGCAGTCCTGGTACTCTTGGACCTGATCCAAATGCGTTTCTTGCAGGGCCTTGGACCAAGGCCCTGCACGCAGTCGCTTGCAAAAGACTTTCGCCCCGGCCGCTTGCAGCCATGGGCGTGAGCATTGGTGCTTTTCAAGCCACTTAATTTATTAATGGCCTCCAACAGGAGCAGTACTCTTGGACCGCTGATCCATACATCGTGGGTTGTTGGTTGTCCTCGTTTGACCTGGAAGCCCTGTTGACCTCCTTGCGGAAGTATCCGCCCTTTTCCCAGATCAAGCACCCTGTTCCAGACTTCAATCGCCTTGCAGGTGATTGTACTATATCACATCCCCTCTTCAAAAGACCCCCACACTTCTATGATGACAGAAAGGGAGGGACCCCTTTGACCTCACTCCTAAGCTTCCATTTGCTGAAGATTCGTTTCGCTTACCTAGTTGTAAAGGGAATCTGTCACTGGCACAGATCTGTTTTTTTTTTTTTTGACTTTCGCAAATGGAGGTCAAGGGACAGGACGCGACCTCTGCTCTTTGGCCTTCCGCCTGCCAGGTGCGGATGCTAGATGTGCTCACCCCTTTGCTGGGCCTCTACACCACAGGGGCGGCCTATGCCATTGCCCCGGATGGTCTCAACATGAAGGCCTTGTTCTTTCAAAGGGAAACAAGCAGGAAACTCAACTCAGAGGGGTCCCGTTTTTTTTTTTTGGAGAAAGGGCGAGCTCGGAAAATCAACCAGCCGGTGTTTGAGGGAAGTAACATACGACACGTCCCCACTTGCTGCTTGCTTGTGCTTTCTTCAGGTGTGGCTCTTCTATCTGCCTGGAGCCAAGAGCCCTTGAGATCCTTATGGGTCTGTCTGGACCCCTCTCCAAAAAACGTGACTTGTCCCAAATGTTTCGATGTACAACACATCCGAACAAGAATACCATTGAAAATGCAGACCAATGTATCAAAACCAAGGCCCGCTTTCGCGGATCAGGAACGTTGCCAACCATTTGGAGTCCTGCTCTTGATCCAGACTCACATGGAGCCCCCGCGAGTGACTGACTCGCGATTGTATTGCTGGAGCCTATCACTTTGGAGCTCCAAGGGGGCTTCTTGCTTGACTGCTATTGGGTTGGATGTTTAGACTTTAACTTTTGGTTGAAATCAAGTTGGGTTTTCCACTAAACCCCAAAAAAGTGAAAAGCTTGTTGCAGGGGGTCGTTGCAGCAACCGAGCTTAGTGCAAGCATCCCAAGGCATCGATCGGGTCTCCGAGGCAGGGCAACGCCGTGCATGCGCTGCACGGCACCCTCTTCATGGCCTGCCTGTCACGGGCCCAGGACCGTCGAGGGTCGCTCCCTGCGAAGCTTCGGAGGAGCTCGTCCTGCTGGCTTGCAACCTGCTTTCATTTCTCACCCAGTGGACACACCTGGCTAGACCTTTTTCTTGGCTTCCCCTTTCGGTTTGGTGACCCAACAAATGTAAATACACTTTTGTTGAGCCGGTCACTCGGGTCTGAAAGGCCAAAAGCTCCCCGAGCTTCAGTTCAGGAAGGTGCCCATTTTGGTTTTTCCTTGTTCCCTGACCCCACCGGTTCACTCCGAGCGTGTCACGCCTTGTTTCAAGCCTACAAACCAGCCCCTTTCACCGTGTAGTTCGGCACCGCCGGGAATATTCCCTTTTCGGTGGTTTCCCAAGACTTGCCACCAGCAAGGAGCAAATACCGCCATGCGCAGTCGATTGCCCATGCCACGAAAAGCAGGGGGCCAACCGATTCTCTCACATCCTTTTCAGATCAAAATGTCCACTGGAGTATGGGCATGCTTCCCAGATATTGAAACACCTTCACGCGTCGTTCCGACCAGGGCCTACTGTTTCGGCTGAGAAGTTGGGAGTTCTTAAGTCCCCAACTTCATATCCCCATCGACCTTTTGGCATAACTTGATTGAATACCCATCTTGCCCAGTCCATGTGAAGTTGCTGCCCAAGGTGCAACCTCTTCCTTTGCTTCGTGGTAAATGCTGCAGCCGCGACCTTGAAGAGTTTTTTTGCACCAGCCTCCTTCTACAAAAACACGCCCTTAAAAGCTTAATGTTAACCCCGGATGAATAAATCCCTAGTTGATCAATAGGGGGGTGTCCCCTTTTAGTGGGGATTCATAACTTTTTGGAGGGAACACCCCCCTAATAATGGGACGGGTTTATTAATCCTGGGTCAACATTAAAGGAGAGACATGTCGTGTTGGTGTGGGTTGAAATGTGCGGAACGGAGCCTGGTCGCTGCCGCCCTTGCCCCCGCAAGTACTTGCACCCGGGTGATCGATTCACAGGTCGAGCGGGAGCCTGTCAAATGGCCAAGCCGGAAGGGCCTCGTGAGTGAAGTGGCGACCAGATTTGGGGGTCCGAATCGATCTGCTCTATGGGCACAACATGTTTGACGAAACGGAAGCAAGCTTTGAAAGGGCCCCAAGAGCGTGCGCACTGTGTGGAGAGGATGCGCCCCACCAGCCGGAGGGCACGAAAAAAGTAGCAATGTGGAAGCTGCAGATGCTGGAAATTCCATGTGACAGACTTTCCTTGAGGTTACAGTTGGGGGTTCAGACACTCATGTGGGTTTGAGCATCGGAAACGGAGATGGGATTTCTGCTTGATTTCCCTTATGACCATGGGCCATCCGTTCGTTTACAGATGTTTAGTCCCAGTGAAAGGGGACCAGTGGTTGGTTGTTTAAGCCATTTTGCCCAAAGCTTGGACACCGTGGAGCGCACACAGGCCTTGCGGATGACAATCACCAGCTACATCATCGACACGTCTGGCCCCTGGCGTTGGACTTTCTACGGGTGTTTCTCAAAGCAACCACCCCCAAAAGGGCACCATCAAAAGACCCAACCCTACGTTTCGACGGGTTCTTTTGGCTTCGGCTTTTGTTCCTGAAGGGGTGGGCTGGGGATAGTTGGGCTTCAGAGCCTAAACTGCAAGCAGCGCTGTGAACCTGAAACAATGCACCGGATTCGAGGCCCAAACTTGTCCAACGGCTTTTTGTTTGCCTTGTTTTCAAGCAGGACTGGTTTGATTTGGTAGCTTTACACCAAAACAAAGGTGCAACTGTGAATTCCCCGGGATTTGAACCAGAAAGACGTGTAGCAACAAGTTTGGTCAACTTCAGGAAGTAGATCCAGGACGAGGGAAGGATCAATTGCGGTCAAACTAGCTACGTGAAAGTGGCATCCACTAAAGTATCCTCTAAAACAGTGAACGAGGAACCCGCCTCACCCAGTTTTGATAAGCACAGAGATGTGGCTAAATTGAAGAACTGGGGTTACGCAGGTGTTGGTCTTTGGTTCCCTAGGGCCCAAAAACGGGTACTCTTTCGAGAACAGCCAGATGTTCATGCGCCCAGTGAGATTCGATGAGTTCCGCTCGCCGCTCGAGGCCCTGGTGGAGGAAGAATCGCAAGAGGCGGGAGCTTCACGGAGCGTGATGCGGTGCCGGCCGCTTTGAGACAGCCCCCTTGGCCGGGCCAAAGGGAGGCGGATGAAGCTCATGGAATGATCTACAAGATGTACATGGGTTGTTAAAATCGGGTACCCCTTCCTGGACCCTTTGATTCAGAACATGACATGTTGCCATCTCAAAAGGAGCGCCATGTTGGACTGCTCCCTCCGAATTCATGCTGATCTCGAACCAGCGAGGTTGCGGATCATCTTGCTGCTCTCCGTGTTCTCGCCCCGCTTCTTCCGCATCACCAGCGAATCCCTCAGCTAATATTGATGATCAAAGCATGCCATGTAATATATAAGCCCAGTTGTTCAGTGAGACCACATGTCCTTTCTCCGCAGGTGGGTGACTTCAACAAACACAAATGCCCTTTTCTCTCCCCTGGTCACTGGGCAAGTAGGAATCGTTTCGTAGCTCTTGCCGCTCGGATTCACAGAGCTTCCGCTGGTGCCCCCTGAAGCTCAAAGAATGCCATGCGTCGCTTTTCGCGTGAATCGGGTTCCCCAGATTCGCGCGTGGGCGGAGACCGCTGCAGCCTCAGAAATCGGCCGAAGTTGAATCTTCAGCTTGTGAGCAATGGTGGCAAGAAGGAATCTTGTGGCAAACCACGTGCCGTGGGTTTTTTTTGTTGCAAGGGGCGAGTGAAGGGATATGTTTGGTATGTAACTCCTTGGGTTTGAACACACTGACCAGGTTCCCACTACCGCCCCTCGAGGTCCGCCAGAATTGGCAAAGTGGGGGCCCCTTTTTCAGAGTGCCTTGTATGACCTCCTTTTCACGTGTGCCTCTTTGGTGTCCCGTGTACAGTCCCTGGAGTGACAGGATGCACACTTTGACACAGGATGTCAAAAACGAGGCGTCTGTTTGGGACCCCTTCGGACTGTTGTTGGTGGCAATCCATGCAGGCGTGGCTGAAATTGGGGGGACCCACACCTAGACTGGGCAGGTCTTCTTTGGGTTTGGGTGGCCTTAAAACAGACGCCATGTGTCACAGGAACTCAGATTCACTTTGGCACGCCGCAGGGGCCCCAGCTGTTTCTCCGTGAGCGATTCCAGGCCTTTTGGGTGGTTGGGTCTTCCAACTTGAGACAAGTCCTGTCGATTGCTGAACACTTGCCTTGAAACGGCAAAAAGGGCAGCCACAAAACAACACGTGCCGTCCGCCATGTTGCGCAAGTGCTTCCAGTGAGGCTATGTTTAAAGGGGACAGATACGAAATGGCGGAAGCTTTGGCGTTTGGCCTATGCAAAATGGGGCGAGTGAGGTCCAAGATGGCTGTGGTTTTTGCCAAGTTGGGCGCGACGCTTAGACTTTGGCCTGGCCATTGGGACTTAGGTTTACCTGAGAAACTCCAGGGAACCTTGGAAAGACCTGGTTGATCTAAAATGATCTAAGATGCAATGGGAGGGCAAAGTGTAGGAGTCAGCTTCAGGCGAGTCACCAAACCAGAGATATGGGCTACCTATCCCTTCGGGATAGGTCAAACCAAACCCGAGAAGAAGACTGGCTTTGGGACCAAATGTGTCACAATCAAAACCCGGGTAAGTGAAGGTTAGTAAGGGTCAATCCCAACCATAAATAGCTGCGGATATCCGCCTTCTTAATTCTTGAAGCATGGTTCTGGGTCAACCATTTTCATACCAGGTTTTGATTATGACTCAAATGTCTACCCGTGGGAGCCCTGCGAGGTTTGGCCACGCTGCTGCAAGACATCCCCTTGCTCCTGGTGTTGAGCTTACCGCGCGAGGGACGCGGAGCGGGCGCCTGTAGTCCAAGTTGGTTGGCCTGGGAAATCACACCAGGGCGCAAAATCAGAGGGGTGCATGTGGCTGTGGGTCAAAATTAAACCACCAAAAGTGAACAAAGCGTGAGCCGTTTTGCCAGCTTGCCGGCCGGAACCAGGTGCAGCTGTATGTCTGGCTGATCTGGCGAAACCTCGCGCCCAAGGTGCGAGCTCAAGTGAGCCACAATCAAAACCCGCGTAGATGAACGTTAGTAAGGGACAATCCCAATCATAAATATCTGCGGGTTTCCTCCTTCTTAATTCTTTATGTGGTTCTGGGATTACGACCATTTTGATACAGGGTTTTGATTATGGCTCAAGTGGATAAGATCCGACGTCCCCGCTCAGCCATGAGGTGAGCCTGCTTTGCTTTGGCCTCGGCCTCCAAAGCATCGCCACGACGGTCATCTCCTCATTTCGGACCGCGTGTTCGGACCGTTGCGCAGCAGAGCACTCAAGATTGTTCGGCATCCTTTGGGTTTTAAACCAACCTAGACAAAACTGCGCGCGGGCCTCCACACACACACACACACTTACCAAGTGCACAAATCAGCCACGTCTCTTTGCCTCTCAGATCCTGCACCACGTCTTCAGCCGCTCCCAACGAGCTGCGTGCTTCTGGCCTATTTTCAAGTAAAACTCGCTTCCCTTTTGGAGCGTATTCCTCGGGACAGCACAAGATCTCAAAGACTTGGGCCACTGGCCTCCAAAAACAAGCTGGAACCCAAACGAGGGTTCCAAGGAAAATCGTCTAGGGGTCTCTTCCCATTGGGCTCTAGTCTCTTCCCATGCTTTTGGGCGACGGAACAGAAACGCAAGGTTTCCACAGCAACCAGGATGGAGTTAGTACCTTGGCGGTTCCCAGCCAACCGGTTCCTTAGGTTTCCTGGTTTTAGGTTTTTAGTTGGTTTAGTGGCGGTGTCCATTTGACCCACTAGAAGTTCAACTTGTAGCAGGCGATCTGAGGACAGGACAGGTACGCCGGTGCTCGGTATCTCACAGAATGCGAACAACCTTGGATGCATGAGATCGCAACATTCCAGGCAGATGTCAGGCCAAATTAATCAATGGTTGGTGAGCTAGGTAAAATCCTCATGATCCTCGGCAGATTCATTGGGGGGTATTCCCCCCGAAGGTTCCTCTCTAAATTGCGATATGTTTGCCAGGAATCAACTAGAGGCTTATTAAAAAATAAGCTCAGGTCATATCCCCAACTCTTTTCAGTGCTCGCACCACCCCGCAGCCCTCGCAGAACCTCGTGGAACCGTCGTGGAACCCTGGTGGAACCCTGGTGGAACCTTACCTCAGGGCCGCCCCGGACCACCCCAGAGCCTATCTGGGCTGAGACCCCAAAGCTTTCAGCTGTTGGAGAAAAAAATCTTTGGGTTCCCATAGCCGCCCTGCAATTCCTGCACCTTTCTCCTTTTCGTTGCAATTCCTGAACAATCCATTCGCCAGATACGAGCGTGTGGTGAAACTGCTGGGTGTGCGTCGCTTGACCGCGGGCTTCTTCGATGTGAGCTCGGGCGTGGGCACGCAGGCACGGATGAGCCATGAATTACATCATGAATTACCTGATGGCTATCTGGGTGTGGGTCAAACATAGGGGAACCCCAAAATGGGTTACAATCTGGCAAATGCAAACAAGGACTAAAACCTGCGGTCCCCTGGCTCATAGCCGTCCGGTCCTTAGCTGTTGTTTTTTTTTTAGTTGGTTTAGCAGGGGATTTCCCCACTTAACTCAGAAAGCAGCGGTTGCAATCCAGGAATGTTGACCCAATATGAATCAACCAACCAGTTTATGAAGAGGGGGGTGGTTTCGGCCTCCAAAAGTGCTCTGATTCCAACCACTAAAGCCCAGAATCGGACCCCCCCTCCCAATTAATAAACTGGGATTGTCGATTTTGGGGTCTTTGGACCTTAGCTTTTGGGTTGAAACCGCTTTAGGTGGCCCCACAAAAGGCCAAAGTGGTCATTGGTCATTGAACCCAAAGTGTTCCACTTTTTGCAGAGAGGTCTCGTCGTCTCGTCAGCCAGCAAGGTGAATGGATGGTACGACCTGTTTTAACAAGGTCGCAGCTTGCTAAACCAGCCAAAAGGTGAGTAACCCTTGTTACAGCTGCTCTTTGGTGTTTCGAATATTTTTACTGGATGAAAGGTGGTCGGGTTTCCGTTTAACTCCCAGGGTTGAACCTTTTAGCCGGAGATCTGAAGGACCAGTTTCAACCAGAAAACAAACACAAGTCAATGAGTGTTGGCCTGTCAGATGTAATGTTGACCCGGATCAAGCTTGCAGGTTAGTTTTGATGTGCGAGGTACCCCAACAGTGAGGAGACCTTCTAAATTAGGTTACTTTCATAGGAATCAAACAGCGATTTTTGTCATCCTTGGTCAACATCACACCTGCAGGTGTACCTATGGCAAGCAAACCAATCACTTGGCCCGCAGCATCCCTTGGTTTCCCGGAACCTCCCATTAGACATAGTGAGACCGTGAATAGGCCCAGAGACCACCAAAGACAAGTCGTCCAAAACGAGTCCGTGCACGTCCACTTGTTTGCTGCATATGGAATCTAAACTTGGCGGTTCCCAGCCGTCCTGTTCCTTGGGTTGAAGGTTTTGGGTTGGTTTAGTGCAGGGTTAAAGTATGACCTCATTGAGGTCAATATTTACCATCATTTACACTACAGTAAGGAGGGTGATATTGGGCATACTCACCGTCATCCTTTTGGGGCCCCGACCCCCATATGGGTGTGTCTTGTTTTAAAATGATGGTTTCCTTTTGGTTTTTCTGGCAACCAAAAAGGGGGTCCAAACCAAGCAAAATACACACCCATGAAAAATTTCAAAGTCGTTTCTCTACCTCCTCCACTTCAATGGGGCTGGCTTCCAATAAAACCCGACAAAACCCCACAACCTCCCTGCCCCGAACCGGTGCGTATGCCTGGAACCCCCCTGACCCGGCGGCTTGGCATTTCAGGCGGGCCGTGCTTCCGAGGGAATCCGCTCGTGCGGGGGCACAGCTGGCTGGGATGGCGTTTCGTAACAACGAAGGAAGCCATGCGAAGAAAAGAAGCACAGCGCACGAAACGCACAAACGGAAAACAAACAACATAATAGAAACAACAACAAACAAACACAAAGAAGAACAAACATAACGAACAAACAGGGCAATCAACAGCCCCAAGCAAGCCCAACAACTAAGGTCCGTAAAGTGAACGTGTTGAGCGGTTCTCAAATTTGCTTTTGAGACCCGGGGCTTTCACTTTCGACCACACTTTACTCAATAATTTGGAGGTCACTTGAATGAACCCCAACAGCCAATGCCCTACGACGGGCGTTTCACCCGAAAGTTCAAAGCAGATCCCCACAAACATGGTTGGACTTCCCGCTGTTCAATCAGGGGCCTTCCCATCATAAGCCCTTCCAAAACGCAGGGCTTGGAGATGGGGCATTCTTTCCGACATCCAGAAGCGATTTCACTATTTTGACACCCGCCCTAAGTTCTCCGCCGGAGCGTTGAATGAATCCATTTGATTTGCAGATGAAAGCTGGAACTGGAACATCGTTGAGGATAGACTTATGTTCAAGGGAAAGTGTGAGAATGGGGGGTGGCTCTTTGCTGGTTGTGTGTTCTGCTTATTTGTTGTGTATGCGGTCGTTATGTGTCTGTGTGTTGTGTGTTTGTGATTGTGTTTGTGTGTGTGTGTGTTTGCGAGCTTGTGTTGTGTGTGTGTGTGTGCTTTCTTTTTGCAGTTGTTTGATTTGGTTGGTTTGTGTTGTTTGACCGCTGTGAGGCGCGAAGATGCTGGGACGACGGGTCCAGACCCTAGCAGAACCCCCACAGGTTGGGAATCATTGGATTGGGCGGTTCCACAAAAAGTTGTGTCAAAATGGGAGGGACATCAAATGGTTGGGGATTTCCGGTTCTCCGGGCTGGCACCGGCTCGCGGAAGTGCGATCATCTTTGAGTTCCTGGGCCTGGAGGAAGACCAAAAGGAAACCTGCCAGTTGAAGTCGACAGGACACATGCATCACAGGGACACATCTGGCTGGACGAGGAAACGCTTACGTTGCCATGGCACCTGGGGTAGTCAACCTGCGTGCCGTAAGGCCAATGGATGTGCGGCCAGCAGGTTTCTGCATCCACTTGCGACAGGGTTCACCCAGTTGCACTCTGTAATCCCCTTCTTGGAACCCTCTTCTGTCGGTTATCCAGGTGACCAGTACTTCCTCACTGCGCACAACATTAAATAGAAACATCCCAAATGTGGATCTTGATGTTTCTCTTAACTCGAAACCAAACCTTTTAGCGGATCCTTGCAAGACTATGCCAAGAGCGAAAACAAGCTATATATATATATATATTCGTAAGTATGTAATATATATATATATAAACACATATTTACCGGCGTCCATTGATTTCCCCTGAAGCAAGCCACAAAGGGACGTACATGATTGACTTAGTATCTTTATTGCCAGGCGCGCATCTTTTACCAAGGTTGGGGCTGGGCAAACCGCAATGCACTTTAAAGGCAAGTCGAAAAGGAGCTGAACATTGGTTTAATCATGTTTCAACGTATTGGCCCAGCCCTGCCATGTTTAATTGGGAATAAGTACCAGACTCCCATTTAAAAAAAGATCAACTGACCCTTAAAAAAAGAAGCAAAACTCATAATATACACACATATAATATATATATATATACATAATATATATATATATACATAATATATATATATACATGATTATGTATAAAACTTATATAATCATGTATATATTATGAGTTCTGTTTCTTTGTTTTAAGGGTCAGTTGGCTCCTTGTGGCCTTCGTTTTTTTTCGACCAGGACACGTGTTGCTCGGAAACGCCGGCTCGCTCCGCTTCCAGGGGGCCCTGTGGACCCTACGAAGCTGGACCCCATCCAGGCGCGCTCCGTCCCCGGCGCGTCATGCGGCCCGGAGCGCGGTGTAGGTTTTTTTTGTTGCTCCAGGTCTTGTGAACATCGCCTCCCAGCTTTTGCACGTTTCGGTTTCTAGGTTTGCATATGTTCTTATTTTCGCCTC